TAACAACTTTGTAAAGTACCCTTGGTAGTCACTATCAGGTGTGAAAATCTCAGTTTTGAAACTATTTTATATATATACTCGTGAAATTCTCTCTACACATCATATCAGTTTTGAACTTCATTGAACAAGTCACTTTCAAAAATGAACCAAAATTCAACACTTACGAAGAAAACACTCTGTGAAATTCTTCGCGACAAAACGTTAAATCTTGCAACACAGCACACGTACTGTTTGGCAGTAATAGAAGAAATTCATGGGAGAGAATTAGCGGAATCACAGAAACCAAGTTTAATTAATAAATTAAACAAGCTGAAGTCAAAGTCAAAAATGTTTTGTAATCAGTCAAATTGGAATAATGCATTAAGAGATCATGCAGATTTCTATGAAGAGGAATTTGAAGTTGACTCACGATACTTCAGCGAATCTAGTGGAGGGATTCTTTTTGAGGAAGAATCTATATATGAAGCAGAAAATGTTACTGACACAGATGAAGATATGGATGAGATTGAATACATCGTCCATGACATAGAGCCTTCATCCAGCAAGGGCATCAAGAGGAAATCATTTGAACAACTAACAAGCGATAAGCATCGACGTAGAAGAGTGGACGAATTAGATATCAGTTTAAAAGAAGCAAAAGGATCATTGTTATCAGTTCTTCACTTGGCACTTCGCCTTTCTAAAGAAGAAGGAAAAGTAGAAGGAGCTAAAATGTTAAAAGAATTTATTAAGGCGTGCCAAAAAGGAGAGGATCTTCCAGAAAAAACTACATCAAAACCTAAACAACTAGATATACATGTAGCTCTAGGTGTAAAAGCCTTTAACAATTTATCTCGAAATCAGTACAACAATATTCGACAAGTCCTGAAACTGGAATGCGAAAACGTTTTACCGACAGCTAAAAAATTGTTGAGGTTAGAGAAACAATGCTATCCTGATGACATAACGGTCACCGATACAAGAGCCGTTATTCCACTAAAAAATTTGACACAACTCACCACAAAAAGAGTTATTGAAGCACACAATTCAGAAATATACGACAAAATCAAAATATTACCTTCAGAATCAACTCCAAAAGTTATTCATGCAGAAATGATCGTCACATGGGGGATGGACGGAACAACAGGACAGTCACAGTATAACCAAGGAAAAACAAATTCAAGAAATCAAGAACGAGATAGAACACAACCGAATCAAACGACTAATAATGAAATTATAGAAGACAAATCACTATTGACAGTTAGTATGAGTGTTCAGCAACTACGACATGAAGACGAAAACGGAAATTATATCTGCTTATGGGACAACGAAAACAGTCAATCTGTATACTCAGTACGACCAATACAACTTGAACATGCCAAAGAAACCAGAGTAAATGTTAGAAGGATATATGAAGATATAAAAAATCAAATATCAAAACTTGAACCACAGAGATTCATATGTGAAGACATGCTTTTGGAAATTACGTACAAATTCTACCCCACAATGTTAGATGGAAAAGTTTACACAGACCTTACAGAAACATCAGGATATTGCAGATGTCAGCTTTGTAGATCTGGACCAAACGAGATGAGTGACTTAAATAATCTTGATAATGGAAGATTCGAAAAAACACACAGAAAATTTGTTAAAGAACACTTGTATTTCAACACTCAGCCACTTCATACATCAATGAACGTACTCACGACTCTATATGATTTGTCATATAAACAATATGTTCAAAAACACTGGCTGGAGATAACTGAAGAGGAACAGATTGTTTTAGATGTTGAAAAGGCTAGAATAAAGCAAGCAATGTGGGATGCATTTAATGTTCGTGTACTCGAACCAAGACAAGGGGGAGCTGGATCATCAGATACAGGAAACGTTGCAAGAAAAGTTCTTGAAAATCCAGAGCTTCTAGCTAAAACTCTATATCTTAATGAAGAAATAATTAAACGTATATGCTATGTGCTAAACCAAATTCGAAGTTTAGAACCAGTTGATGATCTAGATGAATTTGATAGGTACTGTAAAGAAACATACAGAATGTTTTTGACAACATATAGTTGGTTCAAAATACCAGTAACACTTCACAGAGCACTTGCTCATGCAAAACACTACATGGAAGCCTTACCATTACCTCTAGGAAGAATGAGTGAAGAAGCCGGGGAGTCACAAAACAAATATCTCAGACAAGATAGAGAACTACGTGCCAGAAAAACTTCAAGAATACACAGTTTTACGGATGTTATACATAGAAGACTCTACAGTTCTGATCCAGTAATAATAAAAAAATATATGGATGTAATAAATAAAAGGTTAATGAGAAAAAATGTCCAAGAAGAAGGTGAAACACCTGAGCAACAAACAGAAAATGAGGAAAAAGATGAGGAAGAAATTGAATTGATTGAGCCAGAAGGAGAAGGTTATGACTTTTCCCAAGCAGAAAACTATGATTATTCCGAAGGACAAGACCATGAATATTCTGAAGAAGCAAACAACGAATGAATAAATAAATTTCATTAAATATGATAAAAAAATGTAAATTAAATTTCTTGACAAATAAACAAAATTTCATTAAACTAAAAATTAAACTTTATTAATTTTACCTATTATAGTTGCGTATCAGAGTATTTTTTTTATTACTCTAATGATAATAGCTTTTTTCAGACTTAACATTTCTTAAAAAAGTCCAAAAAATACTCGAGATTGCTTAAAAGTGGTATTTTTGAAAATGCAATTTTTGGGAATATTTCAAAAACTGCGTATGTCACAATCAACAGCCCTATAAATAACCAGGACTAAGTTAACTAGCAAGTATTATATATCGTTGGATAGGTATTACATTAGGCTACAATAATCCGAAAACAGAATTAAAAAATATTTTTTCAAAAAAAAGTTATAGTGGTTTAAGTAGGGTGACAAATGGCCAAATCGATGGAGAGCACATACCCCCTATATCTCGAAAGATTTTGAAGTTTTTGAAAAATTTTCTTCACAAAATCATTTAAATTGTTATTTTTCATAAGAAAACACAAAAAAACTATTTTTAAAACTATGTTTTCGTATTTTTAAAAGAATTATTAGTTTTTGGCCAAATACTCAACGACCTACTAAAATCAACATAACTCAATTACGTTAGCTTACTTTTTCAAAGTTTATACAGTTTTGAAAACTAGATATATGGGGCTACAAAACTGCGTTTTTACTTGCCTGGAAACTCTTCATTTATGATAGTTGCGGCTTGTTTGAAGATAATTTTCCTGAAATTTTCACATATGTTCTACCATAATGGCACGAAAACATTCAGAACCTAAACTTTGTTATATGTCAAAATAAAGCTCTTATATACTACTAATAGGAACTGAAAACCGTTTTGCAATATCTTAAACCAGTTAAGATATTTCCCGGTTCAAACATGGTATGAAAAAACCAGAATTTTCACTAGTTTTCAACTTCAAACAGCTCTAGAATCGCGAAATCAGCACCAAATGACCTGAAATTTGGCATTTCTATCTACTTTTATGTCCTCTACAAGAAAAAATCACCCAAAAAGTGTAAATCGGAAAAGTCCATTTTTCAAAGTGAAAGTCCCTTTTTTTTTCATTTTGCCCCATAGTGCCAGATATACAAATATTATGCAAATGAAATGGGTAAAGTTCTTTTTTCTCCCTTTTTCGCTTCACTTGTTTGTTGACCTTACAAGTTAAATGCGATATTCATTATAAAAGGATATTTTTGAGATTTGGGGAAGTAGGAAATTAGTTTGACTGTCTGGCAGGTTCAAGATATGTTGGACAATTATTTTAAATTTTTTTTAGAACTTTGACTTTGAATTTTGAAAAAAACAAATTTACAGAGCATTTGAAAAATAATTTTACAAATTTTGAACTTTTTGAATTAAAAGTAAAGTTTTAAATTTTAGAATTAATGTTTGTTCTAATTCCTAAAAGCTCATCAAATTAAATAATTCCCAAAACTTCCTTATAAGGCCTTACCTACTTTTTATTCTCAATTATAAACTCTTGAAAGTAAGAAGAATATTCCATTTTGTCTTTGTCCATTAAGTATGTAAATTTTCTTTACTAAGCATCAAATGAAGGATGAAAAGTACAATAACGGAACAATTTCATTCGTTTCGTGTCTAATTTTCGTTTTCTCTCAATTATTGTAATTTTCGTAGCGATTAGTAGATAATTACGAGACGATCATATGATTAGAGAAATTGTTTTGGTTTAATGGTTCAGCAATAAAAATTAATTGAGGCATAAATTTAGAATTTTATGTGCTGATTACAAAAATGGTGGAATCTTAAATGAGATATTGTGTCGGGTCATTTATTAGGGAAGATCAATACTAATTTATTTAAAATTTTAGGAAAAGTAAATTTTAGTATTGATTATGTATGGTTTTTATATTTCTGTATATTTTAAACAAAAAAAAGGATCAAGGACATTGATACCAAGGACATCGTCAGTTTAAGAAGAGGGGGTCGTAATCAGAAACAAATGCGGGTTGAAAATGACAAAGATATAAAATAGAGAATAGGACAATTTTAAAGGAAAACGCGAAAAACGTTTAAAAAAAACTTTCTATGAAAACATTTCTCGAGGGTTTGCAACATTTTTTTAAACTAAGAAAAAAGATATTTAAAATAGGAAAAATTACAAAATCGCCCCTTTTCATAAAGAAATTCTTTCCATGTGTATGATTTAAACAGCAAAATAAAATGTGAAATCTGATGGAATTTTTTAAAAAATTCTCACAGTTCATAAATTTTCCTCGGTATCTTGGCGAAGTTTTTATTCGATAGAGAATTTTTAATAATTTTACATTTTACTCATTAAACAAACAAATTCAAATTTTTCACAAAGTTAGCTTCTTCTTATGTCTTGTCTTTCTTCTGACAATTTAAAATGTAGATTTTTATTTTCTTTTAGAAGAACAAAAAAGAAATGAAAATCAAAAATATTAAAATGTAAATTTATTTCTCATTTTTTCTATTTTATTTTTTTCAGGATGAATTTTATTCAACTGCATTAAAAACGCTGATATCTGTATCGACTGTGATCTTACTGGGACTTATAGTAGCTTATCATGCTTTAGAAGTGCAGGTAAATTTTTTTGTGGATTATTTTGTGTAATTTGAATTCGTGATTTTGTTGAAAATTCTACATCGAGATTAAACTGTGGATTTTTTGAGAACTGAAAGTTTTGCTTTTGACGTTTAACTTTTTATTTAATCTGAAAAACCTTGCATAACATATTCATCAAAATATCAACCTTTTTTCGAATAAAACATGAGAGATAGCTTAATGAAAAATTCATGTTCTGCAAACATTAATGAAGCTGTCAGACAGAATGAGTGCGAGAGAGATTTTCAACTATAATATGATGTAACAGATGTGAATTCAATTAAAAAAATTTCCTCTTCCTTCTTTTTTTCATTTTCTGCATACACAATGAGCTTTTTCAACTTCCTCGATTTTTTTTTGCATTTTTGCTCTGTGAATAACCATTATAAAATTCCAACAACTTTAGTCAGTTTAAAACTGTCTGAAAATTTCTCTCTTTTTTCGAACTGAATAAAAGTTTAACAATTATTCAGAATCGATTCTTAATTTAAATTTGATTGCATATCGAAACTACTTTTTTTGATCGTCCAGTTTTTGAGATTCGAAAGACGAGGGTAAGAAGTTGATTACAAAAATCTATGAGTAGCGCATATTATTTACGCTGGATTTTTTAAAATGATTGAAATAGTTAAATTTTTTGGATGAAAGTACACATAAATTTTCAATAAAGCTCCAAACCCCCAAACTGCATTCTAAAATTCGTATTGTCCCAAAAAAAGCCACGAAAAACCTTTCATTCCATCGCCGTTTCATTCATGTTCATCGTCTGTTTGTGAACAGAGCATTTTTTTGCTCATGACTGACATTCACGAGCTGCAATGGTAATCAAATGAAATCGAGTATTGAGGTATGAATGATGGTTTGGCTATTAATTAAATCAACCGACCGAACTCATGATTTCAACTTTTTTATTCGATGCCATTTTTTCACGAAAAGGATAATCTGGTTCAAAAGCTGATTGTCTGATTAGGTTTATTGAGCATTACATGATCTGATTAAAATTATTAGGTATTAAATCTTTTTTGAAGGATTGAAATAATTTTATTTTTTGGGTAATGATAATATTTACTTAATGCTGGTCAATGCATCATGAGAGCTTATCACAACACATTAAAATATTTTTTATGAAGGTTTGAAAATTAACACATGATTAACATCGCAGCGGATAACGCAATCCTTGAATCCATATGTTGTTAACACCAAAGTTGTTAGCATATGAACCAAACGAATTATGATAATAATTAAAGCACATATTTTCAATGATGGAAAACTCAAAAGTTTTGATTGAAACCAAAACACATGTGATTCAGGCAAGCATGCATCTCTGAATTAAGTATAAATTCAATTATTTGAACCTAAGTCTCCATGCTTTTATATCTAAAAAAATTTATTTATATATCTTACTTGCTTAGTTCCTCCCTTGACTAAGGAGCAAGTAAGCCACGCTTAGAGAACGTCTCAACCAGCTCTATCATTTGAATACTTCGGGATATTAAGTTTTCAAGCTTCTTTTCCAACAACACCAATCCAGGAATTTTTCGTTCTTCTCTTGCCATCCACAAAATCTGCTACTGTTACTTTCAGTATTATGATTTCCTGTGAGTGTCTTCCTGATCTTAGAGCATCCCGAAAAAGCTACTATATCACTAGCTTTACATAAATGTCAGAGGCGCTTTTCAATCCTTTATATGACAAAAAAGCTTTCATGACTTCTATTTCAATTCAATTGCTTTCTCGTTCTGTAAATTCTCGTCATTGTTTGACAAGCATGAGTGAATGTAGGTTTTAGAAAAGAAGTGAAAATCCTTCAAAGCAATTAAAAACTTTTTTGTGATGTTCGAAAAATTCTATTCGTGGAAAAAAAAATCAATACTAGAAAATTGGAGGTAATTTTTTATAAATAAAAAATTAGAATTGCTGAATTATATTTTGAAGGTTTAAAGAATTTTATTTTTAATTCATTCAACCGAGTTAATTAATGTTAACAAATCAAAACTGACTGTTCATAGCTTCGTGGATTAAAATCTGAATTCCTATTTGAATATCGTTTTGCAATTTGCGAAAAGTCCAAGTTAATTGCCAAAATATTTCGAATGCAGCATTTTACTTTCTGAGATATTTTTGGTTCTGTTTACACAAAATAATAATGAATATATGCCGGTGATAATAATAATGTCATTAAAATGAGTCTATAAAATATACGCAGAATCACATCCATAAAGTGGCACATTTGTTAATTTAATAGCTGAGTCGAATGCGAATGTTTGCGGCATTGACAATAAAATAATTTATCGATAATTATTAATTACTAGTAGCTGTCGTAGACAAGATACAACTAATAATTTTCTCTCTCTATTATTTCCAATTTTCTTTCAGTTATTCATGATTGATAATTGTGCAGATGATTGGCGTATAGCAATGACATGGCAACGAATATTACAGATAGGAATAGAATTAGTTATATGTGCAATACATCCCATTCCAGGTGACTACAAATTTACATGGACAACAAAATTAGCTAATAAAAATAAGGAGATAGGTGTGGCGATTGTACCACTCGATGTGGCACTATCATTGCCAATGTTTCTTCGTTTGTACCTGATTTGTCGTGTTATGCTGCTACATTCGAAACTTTTTACCGATGCTTCATCGCGTAGTATAGGAGCATTAAATCGAATTAATTTTAATACTAGGTAAGTCATTCGACTTTGCACATTTATTGCTATGCCTTTCTTTTTGGGGCCGTTCACTTATTACGTTACGCAAAAAAACGACTTTTTTCACCCCCCTCCCCCCTTTGTTACAATATGTTACAACTCACAACCCCCCCCCCCCCCTGAACGTTCATAATTTATTTTATTTTGATAATTTTCCATAAATCATTAAAAAGGTGGAAAATTTAACCCCCCTTATGTTACATTTTGTTACAATTTTTCAAACCCCCCTCCCCCCTAAAATGCGAACGTAATAAGTGAACGGCCCCTTTATTACCTTGTTGCTACTATTACTGCTACTGCTACAAAGAATATGAGAATTAAGTCTATAAATATCATTAAATCATTTTCTTAATTCGGTGCACAATATTTTTTATGTGTGTATATATAAATTAATTTATTTTATCGTCGTGAAATTAATTTAAATGAAAATTATATTAATGAAATTTCTGTAGAGTATTTAAGGAAGAAAGAATATTTTGGGTTAAAGATATGGTTATTGGATAGGACCAGTTCATAAATGACATCCATCAAAAAACTAGATTTTTAAACCCCTCTGTAACAAAATTTGTGTCAATTAGTGAACTCATTAGAAAAATTGGTGAATTAATTAAACAGAATATTAAAAAATGAAAGTTTAAAATTTTATTTCGTATTTCAACTTTACATAACTTAGGCAACATTGTCATCTTCCATCGTTTGAACGGCAGATCTCTAAGCGTAGCTATATAGTCCTTGTTATTTAGAACTAAAAATAATGTGCAGCTAAAGCTTTCAAATTTATTTATAAAGTATTTTTATCGTAAAACCTCCAAACACTATAAATTGCAGCAGAAGCAGTAACAGCAACAAATGAATATCACTAAATGGTTATAAAATTTAACGATTTAATGTTATTTTCAATTAAATACCTAAATATAGCAATACAGAAAATTTTATTCTTACTTCCACTTTTTTTCATTTAATTTTTCTCTAGATTTGTTTTAAAAACATTAATGACAATATGCCCCGGCACGGTATTATTAGTATTTATGGTTTCGTTGTGGATAATTGCATCATGGACTCTGCGACAATGTGAACGGTAAGCTATTTCTTTTAATTACTGATCAATTTTGTTTAAATGACGATTACTATTTATTAAATTGAAAAAAAAAATGAATGAATGGAAGCTTTCAGGAACGTCAACTTTCCATTCATTTAAATGAAAAAAAAAAAATATTTCATGAATGAACCTGAATAAGTATAAAAACAGAATATTAATGCGATTAATCCTTAATGATTATGATAATGATTATGATCAGGTCATGGCATTAAAACAATAATTTTTATTCCAATTTCATTCCCACAAAACCCTCATTTTCCATCATCTTATTAATTATACATTCATATCCTTACGATTGTTGTTTTGATGATAAAGTTCTTATTTTTATTTCGTTTCAACAATTTTATGTTGTCCCCTGTTTTCATGTTCATCCCAATGCTCTAATTTTTCCTCATTTTCATATTCATTGCATTGCAAACTTTAATGAGTATAAATTTGTATGCTTGCGTCTATATTGCATTTGTGCTTCACAATGAGTAAAGTAAGCAAATTTATATTGAAGACTTTATCCTTAAATTTAAGGTGATGATGAAAATACTTAAAAAGCTTCGGAAACTTAAAAACTTATATTTTTGAGTTAATGAAAATTTCGCCACATTTTGGGGTTATTCGGGGTACTATGGAGGCACCCTACCTTTGAGACACCACTAAGACTAGAGTAAGGTTCTCGTAGAGCTTTAAAAACTGTCCAACAGTTTTTGACCAACATACAAAACCAACGGATGTTGTCATTAGAACAAAACATCATCAAAATACTTAAAATTATATTTTTTAACAATGTAACAATTTTAAGTTTCTACCCTCTTGTCTACATAACATCCTGTTACATATTTAAATATCAAGGATTTTCTCCAACACTCATTTTAATTAATGACTCAATTAGATGATGTTAATGTTTGAATGAGCGCATAAAAGTGTTCAACATAATTACGTGCACATCTTTGTAAATGAATGCACATGACTGTGCTCTATTCTATGAAGATAAAATGTTCATTAAGTTAGTTTTTTGCATGTTTTAGCAAATACAAAAATGAGTAGAGTAGATGAAATCATTGTTGATAAGATTAGAAGCAATTAATTTATAAAGTCATTTGCATCAGGTGCTGGCTTTTTGAATTTTTTTTATTTAAACAGAAGTGACTTTTGACTAAAATTTAAATGATTTCTTGTGGTTTGTGAATTTTATAAGGACAAATTTTACTGAATTTGTTTTTTGTAAATTTAGTGTGAAAGCTTCTTAATATTTTTTTTAAGGCATGAACTTCATTAAGTTCTGATACATAATCCCCAAAAATGTTAAAGCATCTTTTCAGAGTAAGAACGTAATTGGTATTTCCTTCTTGTTAAAAATCTTGTCCATACTATCGTCAATTTCTAAATCACAAAAAAAACTTACAAGAAATACAATTTGTGCTTCAAAAACTAAAATTTGCAATCTCATTTCTGATTACATTGAAAATATTCTCTCATTTCTGTGCAAGTTGTAAGGAAAGGAAATCCTTGAAAATCATAATGAAGTATGCATTGTGTCATATAAATTAAATTCAACGTGACTTTTTCAAGATAAGCATTCTCTTCTTTGTTTCTCTTGCCATATTTTTACATTTTTTATTATTTGTGAGCCGGATTTTGTGTACAGATTTAGGTTGGGGATTTAGGGAAGTTTAGAAGATGACAAATATTAAAATTTGATGCTGAAAATTTATATAATTTATTTTTGTTCTATTTCAAAATAATCCTTTAGTTGCAAAATAATTAATATTCATAAAATAATTTTTAAACTAGGAAATAAAATCACGAATGTTGTTTTTTTGACTCTTTAATTATTCTTCTTGAGTTATTTAAATTCTGTGCGTGTTAATTCAAACAATTTTCTACAATTTTAACATCCATTCTATTATGTGAATCAACTCCTTTATTTTCCTTTCGTTTTTATGAATGAGTGAGAGTCGAGAACTTTGATTTAATTTAGTGACATAAAAGCCATACATGGAAAAAACAGCAGAAAGAGTTTTTTTTTCTCTTATTTTAGTCATTCGAATGAAATGATATCAAAACACATGTATTCACTCTTTTTTGTATGCCAGGAGCAATTGTATGATGTTCAAAAAGTGGATCTATGTATATATGCACGGAGAACTTTTTTGATGAGTACATTTTTACCTTTTTATAAACTCATATGTAGGCTTTTGTGTGTGTGCCTCTTTAAAAAAAAGTGCTGAGGAAAATTTTATGAAGATAGTAAAATGGGTCTGAATTTTGTCTATGTGACTTTTAAGGCTAAAAAATATTTCAAATTGTCAGGATTTTTTTATCACCCTCTTTTAAGACTTAGCTACGCCTTTAACATTAATAATAAGCCTAAAATGCGCTTTAAGTTCGCTAATTCTTGTTAATTTTTCCCTTTTTTTTTATACCAGACGACAAACATTCTTTCGCTTGCATTACATAGTCATATAATATGAGTACACCTGTGAATATATTTATGTACCTACAAAAGGAAGCAAAAACTTGAGCTTAAAGAAATTATAATGAGTCATTTTAAGGCACATTTATAAATGAAAATGAAAATAAAAGAGCTTTATTCTTTTGAACTTGAATAGGCACACACGAGTTAACGCTAAGCAACATTTGAATGACTTTCTATTAATTATTGTGCTTTTTGCTGAGTTGAATTAATTATGTTGGCTTTTATTAACTTTGATGCTCAAGTCATAGGAAGATTTAATTCAGTGAGATTTGCTGTAAAAAATATCTTGATGATTAATAAAGAATTAATTCAGTATTGACAAAATTTCCCACCCATTCCATAATTTTCCTTAAAAAAACTTTTTCTCATTGGCTCAAGATTGAAATAAACATGCAAATTTTCATCCATAACAGTAAAATGAAATAAATGCTCTCATTAGTATGAAAATATTATGTATTATCATGGACTTCTTATCGTGTTTTGTATCTATGCAAAATCTTGTGGCAATATTTGAATGAGAAAAAATTGAAAATGAAAATGAGAAAAATTCAATTTTCTGTTATTGTCTTCTTCGTTTCAACATTAAACATTTTTCCTCGCCAAAATGTTATAGAAATTTGAATTTTATTTGGAGACAATTTTAAATTCATTCAAAAATAATTTTGCAGACATTTTCGAGGTCAAGTTTGTCTGTAAAAGTTTAATATTATTTAAATTGTATTTTTTTGTCGAAAATCAATATTTTGACAAGGTTTCAGGTTGTTGTAATCAAGGTCAGGTTGGTTATAATTCAAATTGTTATTAATAATTTGTTATCTTTTATTTCTGGCAATTGCAGTTCAGTTTTGAATATCAATAGAAATCAATTTCATCAACATACCCCAAATGTTCATTCAACTCGATTTAAAGTTCATCAAAAGTCATCATAAACTTCCACAATCTCATTGATCCTCCTAAAAATAACTTTAGAACATGTGCGTAAAAGCTAATACAGCCACAAGCACATTATTCTTTAGATAACATAAAGAATATTGACTACAATAACGGTAATATATGTGATATATAACGGCATACAATAGATGTCATTTCATTGATAACAATTTTCCTCTCTTTTGAATGCCTTGTGGCTTTACAGACAGTTTTCTTTTATTGTCATTCACTGAGCGAAGAATATTCTTTTCTGTTGTACCAAATTGCTCTTTATATTTTTATGTGCGTAGTTTGGAGATTACTTTTGAATTTTTGCGGTTTTTTAAGAGTTTTATGCTTGCTATGCAAAGGATTATTAGTCAAAATTTAAAATAAATTGGAATTAATTTTTAATGGCAATGTTTTATTTTTTAACTGTCTTCTCAGCATTTTACTAAATTTCTCTTCGAATCTTCTTTTACCTGATTCATAAATTTATTTTTATCTCTTTAAGATTTGCATTAATTCTTCCAAGAAAATTATCTCGTTTTGCTTCTACTTCTTTCATATTTTTTTAATCCAATCAATTAAAGGCTTTATTTCATAATGTTTTTAATAAATGCTTTATTCATGATCAAGAGTCCTGCTATGAAAAGAAATCTTATGTGTCTCAAAGAAGCATAAATGTCTTGTTTGTCCTAATGAAATTTGTTATTAATCTGATAGAATTGTATGTTAAATGTGAAATCTGCTGGCATAGGGTTTTAGATCAGCATTAAATTATGCTAAAATAGTGTCTTTAAGTTTGTGTTTTTTTGTTAAACTACAAACTGATTCAAACTCAGTGATCTTTTCTTCATGTGTAAGCTTCAAAAGTCAAAGTCATCTAAGAATCATTCACCACCTCCTCCACTCATTCCCCAAAATCTACAAAAAAAAAAATCAGTCAATAACAATCAAAATAATCACAACCGAGCTTTCCTTCCACAAAATTCAATGAAAAAAAATCTTTTAAGCATTAAAGTCGTAAAAATTGAGTACCAAAAACGAGAGTTCACACGCTCTTCTACTCGGATCTGATTTTCCTTTTCCAGAAATTGGATGAGAAAAAAAATTGCGAACACATCTAAAATTTAATTTGCCAAAAGCTTTCATTTTTTTCTGCCAATTTTCTAGGATTTTCAACTCTATCCATAATTATCCAATTCCATTTTTTATTTGTTCCTTTTATATATTTTTTAATGATCAAAATCACTCACATCGAGGAACTGAGAAGCTTAAAAAAATTCTGCTGATTTTCTTCTCTTTTCTCGTTTTATTAAAAAATGTATCAAAATGGCTTCCCTGTGGATCCGATAATATTTAACAAGCATGTATGAAGTATTTATTATTCATGATGCAAGGCATACACAGTCACGTATACGAGACACGTGCATGAGAGTTCTTTGCTTAAGTTTCCATATCCAAAAGCTTAAAAAAATCAATCTAGAGAAAAATTTTAATTAATTTTTTTAAAACGAAAATGAGAGGCAGAAAAAAGGAAGTGAAAAGTTCAGTTCATCCTGTCATGTCTACTTACATGTTCTCGGCTAGGTCAGCG